CCCTAAAAAGTAAAAAAAATCCACCCTAAAAACAAAGGTACAATAGAAGAAAGATCAAAGCCCGGTCTGAGGCTAAAAGTCATGTCTGCAATTGACAGGTGATCAATCACCAAGCTTGACACAGCAAGACCTGTAGACTCTAAATTCAAACTAAAGCCTACAAAAAGAATGGGTGAAATGAAAAACTTTAAAGAAGGGTAACATTCTGCTGCCAACATGGAAGGGCATCGGTGCATGCCCAACAGAGACCCAGCTCGTCCTTGTGCCCGGCTTTCCTGGCCAGTTAGCCGCCACAAGCTACGAACCCAAGCTGCAAACTCAAGCCACAGACTCAAGCAGGACTGGTAACTATGCAGCAGCTGCAGAACATCTGGATGGATGGATGTGTGTGTGTGTGTGGGTGGGTAGGTAGGTATTAGGTATAATGTGTGTGTATAAGGATTAAGATACTAGTTATTGGTCATAAATCAAATTATCATAATAAATGTGGCATCTTTATCTTGTCCCCTTTAATAAGATCCTGCTAGTTTTTATTGGTATAACAACACCAGCTGGGCTGTGCCTCCCAGGATACTGGTATCCACAGGTTTGTAACTGCCTGACCCAGGCAGTAGACCCTTTGTCTCTGAGGCCTGGTCCACACTAACCCCCCACTTCGAACTAAGGTACGCAAATTCAGCTACGTTAATAACGTAGCTGAATTCGAAGTACCTTAGTTCCAGACGCAGCAGACAGGCTCCCCCATCGATGCCGCATACTCCTCTCGCCGAGCTGGAGTACCAGCGTCGACGGCGAGCACTTCCGGGATCGATCCCAGAAGATCGAATGCTTACCGCCAGACCTGGAGGTAAGTGTAGACCTACCCTGAGTCAGGCTAACCTCCGCCTGAGGGGCTTAGTGGTCATGTCTCATTGTGGGCTCAGCAAACTGCCTGTAACAATTGATTACTGACTCCATCACAAACCTCTCTAGTGGCTTTTCAGTCTATTCTGTTCCTGCTTCAGACTTAAGCAGGCTGGGGAAAGGTGTCTGGAGGGCCTGGAGCATTGTTGTAGGCCAGCTGGTGGATGGAGAAATGATCCCCAAACTGTGGGAGCAAGTAAACCAAATTATTTCTCTTATAATACAGACCCAGAACTAGTGTTTATTGTATTGCTTTTTAAATAGCTAGGAATGCAACATTGAGAGGGGGTGCGGAGGGGCCCAGGCCAACTCCCACGGGGGAGGGAGCACCACCCAACCCCGCTCCACACTAGGTTTGCCAACTTTCTAATTGCAGAAAACCGAACACACTTACCCCCCACAACCCTGCCCCTTCTCCGAGGCGTCACCCTCGCTCACTCCATCCCCACTCCCACTGACACTCACTCTCACTCCCTCCACACCCCACTCGCTTATTATCACTGCAAGGACCAAACAGCCATCAGGAGAAGGCCAGGAGCTGCAACAGTTTGAATGTGGGAGATGGAACATCTGATTCAAATACCCTTCTCCTCCCCAGGGAGAGATTTTAAACATTATTGTAAAATTAATTGCTCCCCAAAAGAGTCCCACTTACAGTGAGTGAGACTAAACAGATTATTTCAGGAGCTGATTTTTCTTGCTTTCACCCAACTGTCTTGGTAGGGGCTCCAATAGTGCTGCAGCCACTGACTGACTCCTACCCTACCTGACAATGAACTGTATACCATGAAAAAAAGTTATGCTGTTCCATCTTTAATGACCAGTTAAATTGCATATATTGTTTGTTAAAGCATATATTTAAACAATGTGGACAAATTAGTGTGATAGGAGTCTTAATGTTAACATTTCCTGACACTTATGTTTGCATATGTAACCTTAATATAGCATTGATGTTTTTTAATGAATTAATTATAGCTCTTTAATGTTAAGAAGGTAAGGTCGCATAAAATGTAATTCAGGCTGCAGAAACTGACCCCCCCTCCCTATTTTGCCATCCTGCTAATCAATAGATTTGCTGGGTGTTCTTCAAGTTTTTTGACCTGTACTGTGCCCCATATTTGTCCCAAAGCAGATTGAGAGGAAATAGGTTAAGTCACCCACAGCATGACCACCTGGCAGTTCAGTGCCCAAAGTTCCACATTACACATCAAATCAATAAATATTGTCTTGTATAATCAGGCAAAGGATTGTACACAGTAATACATGTTATTTGTATATGAGTGTGTGTGTCACAAATAAACTTCCTCAATGTGGAATGGATGCACATTAGGCTTTATAAACTGAACTGAGATTTCCCAAGCACTTCCACCAAAACAGTTTTAGGTAAAATATAAAACTGGTTTATTAACTACAGAAAGATATCAGAGGGGTAGCAGTGTTAGTCTGGATCTGTAAAAAGCAGATCTGTGGCACCTTTAAGACTAACATGTATTGGAGCATAAGCTTTCGTGGGTGAATACCCACTTCGTCAGACACATGTGTCTGACGAAGTGGGT